TAAACGTTTATACCGCCGGTGTATATAATTTATTCTTGTGATGTTTATGTTTTTCAATAAACTTGAACTCTAATTCTCTAGTAGTCTAGTATAAGTAGGTATCTTATACTTCCATTCATAATATTTAGGTTCAACCTACATTTTCTAACTACAACCAACAACTAATACTACTTACCTTTAAGAAAAATATATTTTAATTAAGTATCTCTCTAACCAAAAAATCAAGGATGTAGAAACTTTATATTTTACCCAAAGGTGTAAGCTATTAGGTGTAGATATCTCATTATCATATTAAGAGGTCACCTTTCTTGAACATCGTCGACATGCAATTGCGGTTGAAATGGTCAAGTGTAGCTATTTTTTGGGTCTATCATCGTGCAACGTTTTTTGAGGTTTATTATCATGGGGTGTAAATTAGGGTAGTGATTTTTGTACTCCCTTTTTGCAATATGTACTCTTTCTTTCTTTTTTTATTCATGTGAATTTAACATGTTACCCTTCTATCGGTTCATTTTTCACACATCGAATGATAATGTTGTAAATTTACAAGAACATAAAACAAGAGCGCGAAAGATAAAAAAGTGAGTGCAAAAATTAATCTCTGTAAGTAACCATGTAATTTTTAATTCTGTGGAATGAAATGGGTCCAACTCTCGTTCATTCCATACCCAAGTCTTCGTGGGACTGTATTCCTGTAGGAGGTTAACTAAGATTCGGACACGTGGCACGTTACTCGAGATGATACGGAAAACAATGAGACAAGTGACATGCATGTGGGCAAAAACTCCACTGTGGGACCCACTACGAGAGCCGAACCGTGTGCTCCAGGCCGCGAGCCCAGAGCCATTGCGTAGGCCGCAGATCTCAGCCCAGCACCCTCACCTTTTAGACCTTATCGTCAATAAATAAAGTCAAGTAAAGACAATTCTTTTTACTTTCTTTACTTAAATTTATAGTGAAAATAGGAAAATACTCCTCATTTGATCTAATGGCAATACCAGAAAAATCAAAATTCAATCATATCAATGTAACCCCCGAATTTTGGGAACGTTAAATAATCATTTTATTGATAAATCTAAATTGAGGCTGGCTCATTATTACATCATAACCCCCACAAAAGTTCATTATTTACAAAAGGAAGGGAAACTAAGGTTCCTATTTACAGCTCTGCCTGCTCCTCCATCCTAGCCAGGTCTTCGGCTCCAAAGGCCTCTAAGGTGAACAATTCATCTTGATCATCTACAAAGTCTGACACATTATACCAGCGTCGCCATTAGTATAATATGTCAGGGTCACCAAAGGTAACACCATGAGCTACAAGAGCTCAGCAGAATAATCCTATACCCACTAACCCTTAACTTACACATAATAGATCATGAAGTTAACGATTCCCACATAGTACATGCATATTTAACTAAACAGTTAACAATGACACATCCACTTTCACTAATTAAACTAACGTTGGTTTTCATGGTTTTCTGAGTTTCTCCTACGCGACTTGTCGTAGACTGTGTCACCATTTTTTCACTTTTCATATACCAAATCATCATTTCAAAAAGCATTTTTAATACACCCAACCTCGGTTCCGCCGTTCCGATCTCCCGAGTATCCTCACACTGGTTCTACGTACACATAAATCATTCATTGCAATCTTAAAACTAAACTAGCAAGATCATCCAACTCTATATCATGTTATACTTCCTACTTTCACATAGTCATGCTCAAACAATTAGCACACACTATAAAGTATAGTGCCATATGGACGGACACTTTTGGAGTGGAAACCACTTATGCTTTATCATACATCAAACAAGTAATTCACGTATACATGGTCATAACCATCCTTAAGATCAAAATACGAATACTTCCATTTTAGTTTGTATTTCCAAAATCCATTCTCTCTTCCTTTTAGGGAAGTTGAAAACAACATATGTAAAGTCGGGATATTCAACATACTCCTCATCCTTTTCAAAACTTTAGTAAAACACTTTTCAATTCCTCATGCATACATCATACAATATACTTAGAGTAAGAGTGTATAAGAGTGTTTTACCGTTCTTCTTGGCGGTAGTGACGAGTACGAAAAGAAAGTTGGCTACTGATTGGGCGGTCTCCTACGGTAAGCTTGCGGTAGCTTTGAAAGAGAAAGGTTTCTCTCGAAACTAGATCTTGACTAAACTACTTAAACTTTTGGATCGAGAGGGTGGTCGAGTAGTGGCCTTGGATGAGTTTCTTGAAGAACTCAAGAATAAGGGAAGAACAAGGCAAGAACACAAGGATTTCTAGAGAGAGAAGTTGAAGGATGAAAGGTGTGAGTTGAATGGCAAGAATGGGGTGCTATTTATAGCAAAGCTTTGGACACTCTCTCCCATCTCTTGGCCGAAATCTCTCTCTCTCTCTCTCTCTCTCTCTCTCTCTCTCTTTCCCATGGATTTTGCTCCATTGTGTTGTCATTTCATGCTTTGAAAGCATGCCAAGCCTTCCATGACTTGTATTGTCCAATCTTTTTAGGCATAAGGCTATAATACTAACTAGGATCTCATGCTTTTTAGGTGAATCTAGGCTATTATGGCAAGTCTTTCAAGTCTAAGGTAGGGTTTGATTAGGCTAAGGTATAGCCTTCCATGTATGGTCAATCTTAGTCTAGGTTTGTAGTCAAATCCTCGGGTAATTAGGGCTAGGTACTAGGATGATTAAAGGCTACTATGGAATCAAATATAGGATGATTAAGGCTAGGATTCTATGCTTGAGAAAGACTAGATTGAGTTGTCAACTCATAAATAGACTTAAGGGCTAAAGGGTAGCTTTGAGTGCACAACACACAAGCACACACCACACTCTCTCCCTCCTTTCTCTCTCTCGGTCTCTCTCTCTCCTCCCTCTCTCTCGGCCTCTTTCTCCTTTCTCGATTTCCTCTCTCTCTCTTCTTTCTCCCATGTGCTATATATATGTGTATGTATATGTGTATGAGTGAGGAAGACTAAGGGTGGTTAGGTTCAAGTAGGCTTATAAGGCTAGGAAGGAGTAATGATTAAAGGGGAAGGTCTTAATGACTAGTTAGGATCCAATGGATAATAAATCTCCTAGCAATCATATATATATATATATATATATATATATATATATATATATATATATCTATACATATATACTAGGTACACTTAGGTCCAAGTAGTCCTAATAGGTCTAAGGTAGGTCATGATTAAGGTTTAAGCTTTCAAAGGTAATCCTAAGGACCAATGGTTAACAATTCCCTAGAAAGGGAATCTAGTCATAAGGTAATGATGACACTAAGCCATGAGTGTTACTTTTGGAAGTATCATGATTACTATTTTTGTCCAATGGTTTATAAATGTTAGGAAAAAGTAACTAAGTCAATTGGTACTTAGGTTTTCCTAACTAAATGGTTGAAAACTAATTCTACTTGTCAAGTAGGATTTCTAGCCAAGCAATATAATTAAAGACTTTATTTCAATTACTAGGAAAATATACTATTGCTTGTCTTTAGAAAATGACTAGATTGTCCAGTGCGAAGTACTTAAATTTTATTATTCTCAAATCTAATTATGACGGAATATTAGAAATTAAAGAGGAATTTTAAAAGCAAATCCAAGTAATTAAAATAAAATTCAAATATTTAACGAAATTTTTATTTACCAAAAATTAGGGTTGTTACAATCAAAATCTAGATTTTCACTCTTAGTGCAAAATGAAAAACTGCACAAACTTTCTCCGAAAGTAATGGTTCGAAACACAGCTTTGCTCTCTTTCCATAAAACCATGCGAATTTCTAGCTGTTCTTGGTAAAATCCAAAAATCAATTATTGGGAATTTTATTACGTAAATCGATCAAAACACGACAAGAAACCGGGTAATAGGTGATGAAAAATGGTGATGAAATTAGTTTTCGTCGCAAATAGTACACATTGGTGATGAAAAACTAATTTCGTCGCCAATTTGTCAAATTTGGCAACGAACAATTTATTACATTTGGCGACGAAATTAGACCTTTGGTGACGAATAATTTTTTTCGTCCCCAATTTTGTTACATGAATTTTTTCCTACAATCTACTCTATTTATTTAGTTCTAAGGATCTCTTAGGGCACTCATTGAAAGCTTTAGAGCCAAAAAATAAGTATGACACTTGAGGATAAATGATTAAAAAAATAAAATCTCTGCACTGATTCAAACGGATTGAAAATTGGTGTACTTAATTTTTTTAACCATAATTTCACTTACAAAACCTGTAGACAAAAGAAATTGAAAACAAAAAGAACAAAAAAACATGACAAATAAAAGAATAATAGAAATTTGGGAAAACCAATTAAAATTGAAAACCAGAAAAGAAAATAAGATTACAAAAAAAAGAATGATAAAATAAGATTATAAAAATAAAATTTATTTTTTCGTCAACTACTCTTCATTTCTATAACTCTCTTAGGTTTTTCATTGAAAGCTTTAGAGTCAAAAATGAATTATGGACCTTTAGGCTAAAATGATCAAAAAAATAAAATCTTCGCATCGGTTCAAATGGATTAAAAATTGGAGCACTTAATTTTTTAACCATAGTTTCACTTAAAAAATAGTGAACAAAAGAAACCAAAAACAAAGAGGTCCACTGGGAAATTGTGAACACCCCTACATTTTCCATTTTTGGGGTAAATAATATACATAATTTTTTTCAAACCCAAGTCCAAATATAGATGAATTTCGATTATTAATTTCGCCAAAATACAAAGCTATCATGTTATAGGGGCCACCAAAAATAACCAAAAAATAATCATAAAATGGCTTCTACTTTTATTAATCAAAGGAACAAAAAAGAAAAAGAAAAAACGACGAAGCAAAATTAAAAATCATATACTTTTTTTTTTGGAAACAGAAAAGATAAGAGAAGACATAAAAAAACAAAAAACAAAAAGGCAATGTATTTGTTTTTGGAAAAAAGAATCACAAAAGTTATATATACTAAATATTTCCATATTCTTACAAGAATGATGGCGTGGCGTGGTGGTTGGGTGTTATGTCTTGTACACGGGAGGTCGTGGGTTCGAAACCCAGCGGAAACAGCAGTTGTAAGGGATTTCCTTGTTATTTTATACTCTGAAGTTTAGTGACGAAATTGCTAAATTTGGTGATGAAAGACAATTGGCGACGTAATTTTTCATCGCCAATGGTTAAACTTTTAGTGACGAATTTTTTCGTCCCCAATAGGAATAATAGGCGACGAATTTATTTTTTTCATCGCCGAGCTCTTTCGCAACCAACCTTCGCCGATGATTTCAGGCGACAAGTTTTTTCATCACCAATTTATTTGGCAACGAAATTAACCCTTTGACGATGAAAATTTTTCTTCACCAATTACATGTTTTCTTGTAGAGCAAAATTCTTTATTTTTTTTATACTTAGCCTGATTTTGGGAGCTAGGGGTATCTTGCTTAGTTCCTCGAGCTCTCAAGTCCCGGCTTTGATTCTTTAAGGGAGAATTGATTATCGAGAAAGGGACGCGTACCCTTCTTGCACGTAGTAAAAACTAGAATCGAAATGTGGCCGACAACGCTCTGGCCGACATCACCCGACTTTGTGTAGGAGATGCCGATAGGGAACCAATTGTGATTCCCCAAAGATTTGGCCATGATGCAGAAGATGTCTACCTTCTAAATTTTGATGATTTGACCTCGACATTAAGTTTCGCTCTAGTCGACTTGGTGGGACCTGAGATTGAGCCATTAGAGGCTGTGTCGCGGTATTGGCAAGGCCGAAAAAGGGTCATGACCATGCCGCTTGTACGGTAGTGGCATGGCAGAGCCAATTCTAGATATTGTCCGATAGCGCGGCAATGACAAAATTGAGGTATACGTTGACCATACTGCCTACTCATGATTACTAGAGATCGAGTGGTTTGGTGGCAAAGAACAAGGGATTGTCATAGAAAGGCGCTCGCAGAGTAGCATTTGTAGGACTATCGCGGGTGTCTCGAGGTCCACGGGTTGATAGTACAAAAGGAATATTTGTGAACGACTTGTGGGACATGTATGTTGTAGGTGGGAAAAAACAAACAGTACCTAGAATAGCACTGGATTGTAACGGCCCCACGTGCTGTTCAACCGGAACCCTAATGCCTTTGCCGGAACCCTAATCTGCAAAAAAAGACAAGGGGTGAGCGCACCTTTGCCTCTCGTGGCAAAGGCCCTCCGATGCCTAAGTTAGTATCTCGTATTAGCAGAAAACCCTAATTATCAGTAGGAAAGTAAAGTTTAAGTGCAACTTATTGCATACCTTTTTCCTTTAGGTTTACCTTATATGTATAGATATGAGCATGCTTGCTTTCCAAGCATCCTTGCTACTTTAAGTTTCCTACCTCGTATAGGAAACCTAGCCTTCCAGGGATCCTCTTTCCCACTCAGCTGATATCCCACACCCATAGGGGTTCTTCTCCCTATCGGACTCATTCCTTGTCTCCTTACTTATCCTAAATATTGGGCCTTCCTTCTAGAACACTCTTACCGCCTTATCACTTAAGACTATTTTCTTCATCAACCCACCTCTGTTCGGCCCTCTCATTGTTGAATAGACTGAATGAATTAATGTCTTCTCATGTCCTTGGTCCCTCTCTACCGAACAGACCGCATGGTCCCAAGACCTCTAGTTATCATTGGACCTAATCGCCGTCCACTGCCTTTCACAGCATCTTACTTTATTTTATCAATTACATGGACCCCATCTATCACGTGTTCGGCCCCTAGTTATGCCTATTCAAGAATACCTCTTTAGAGCATCCGCATCAGACTCAGCAAATTTCAGACCAAATTACTCCTTAAAAAGCCACTTTATTACTTTAACTAGTCACTTTTTAAATACCTACTGCATCAGACTCTCTATTTATATTTATTAGACTCTCAATTTTAATTTATTTTATTTTGTTGGAAACAAATTGAGACTAGCCGTTACCCAACTGTTGGGATTTTTTACCGTTGGATTTTTTACCGTTGCATCCCAACGGTCCTTTGTGCATCAGAACTCCTCCATATATATTTCTTCATGTCTTCCATCTCCTGTATACTACTACTTCCACTCACTCTCCATCCATCTAAAAACCAATTGCCTCATAAAAACCACCTGTTCTTGCATTCCATCAAGTAGTTCTTGCAAAATGTTATTGTATTATCATGTATGGTTCTTCACAGTCAGTATATCCGGATGGTTTTTATTGCTAGTTTTTTAAAAACAGACAATGTTCATTGTGCCCTTTTGTTGGTGCCCTACCATGCTTTGTGATTGCTTTGTTCAGAATTCTAGTAGCTAGCCAACTCTAAGTGCTCAATGAGCATCTTCTTTATCTAGTCTCATCAATCACACCCCCCGAACCCGACAACAATGCGGCAAGAGCATTTAGAAACGAGAAGACGGGTAAATTTTCAATAGCAGCAAAACCAAAAACAAGCATTAGCAAAACCAAATCAGACCCAAAACGGGCTCCTCCCTCAACAACTGCTGCCCCCTTTCCTGGTTCAACATATCCTATTGCAATTAAAAGCACAGGTCCAACAGCAGGAAGTAACTCTCATAGTCGATTGAAGGAGCAGAGAGCTTTGGTGAGGTGAGGGCTTACCATTCATCGGTGAGTCAATGGAAGCACGCTGGAATGGTGATCCATCGTAATCTGTCTACGACTCTTCTTAATAGACTTGCACACATATAACACAATGAGGGGTGAACTCCCACAAATCACTGTTGTACACACCACACATATATGCCTATTTCATTACCAATATTACAGTGTATACGAAAAAACAAGCTTTGGACTTCCCAGTGAATACCAAAAATCATAAAACCCGGACCTGAAGAAGTTGTGTAGCATTTAGTGGTCCTTTTACTAGAAAAATGTCATTGACACCTTATAACAAACACCTTGTAGGCAGAACACAATCTTAACCGAACCAACCACAAAATCATAGAGGAATTACCCAAAAAAAATCATACACAGGGAAGGGTGAATACATGCCTATTTCATCACCAATTTCACACAGTATATCAAAAGCCAAAAAAAAAAAAAATCATAATACTGTATAGGGAGATGGAGATAAACAAGAATACCTTCACTTTGATGAGATTCAAGGATTGAAGAGAGAGAACGAGGGAGAGAGAATAAGGATCAGTTGTGGCTATATGTTCCATTTTGGCGCCAGATGCTGCTCCAGATTGGGCGGGACGAAGGATGCGAGTGAACAGTCCCTCGGTGAAACACACGAGGCACTGTTGCTCTTGCTACTCCTCAGGCTTCTTCCACGAGGCTGATAACGCTGGGTTTTTGGGTGTTTTTCAGGACAGGGCTCGCTACTTTAGTTTAGAAGAGGGAGTAGAGAGGGAGATGTGGATGCCCTTACAATTGCTCCCCAGCTTTGCTCGTTGCCACTGCTCGGGGGCTACGGGTAAAGCTAAATATAGATTTCATGCCGAACTTCATAGATCCTGTGCAGCCATAGCATCCATACTTTATTGATGTTTTTGGCGCCTTTGTCATTATACTTTCTCGAGGTTATGCCTCCATGTGGCATACTTCGTACGCTTTCCATTTAATTTGAATTGGCGTTTTAAACAAACGTTGTTTGAACAGTATCCACTCGAACCTTCTTTCCGTTACTTTTCATTCCAACGACATGAGTGCTGACGTTTGGTCTCCGTCTCATACCCTTATAACCTTTTCAAAGGTGTTTTTACCCCATTTCGAGATTCTCTCTCTCTCTCATCGAATCCAGACGAAAAAACTTCCCTTTTCGTCAGTGCCGCCGTCTGCAACTCGTTTGTGCCGAAGGCAACCATTTAAACATCTCGTAAGATATCTATTCCCTCTTCTTGGGTTTCTTTTCTGAGATTTCAATCTTAGATTTGTCTGTTTCTAGGGTTTTGGACACACCCATTTTAGATTTCATCTTTATTCTAGCACCTCCGTAGTTTCTCATGGCGGATAATAATGATGATGCATTTATACCCGGTAAATTTAGGAAGCTTTGTGAAACTCCTGCCGCTATGGCAGCTTTTAGATCCAAGTATAATATTCCAGAGAACATAGGACTTGAACTTGCCCCTTTGGGTGCAGACAGGGACGCGAGGTCATGGGATAGAATGTGTATCCCCATTGTAGCTATTGTTGAGGGCGGATTTCGTTTCCCCCTCCATCCATTGCTTCATCAGGTCCTAAACTAGTAGCGACTCACACCCATGCAAGTTTCCACCAACTTCCTTCGATTAGTGATGGGTCGTAGCCCTTAATATCATTTTGGGTACCAATTATGAATTTGGGATATTCAATGGTGGTATAACATCGTGCTGAACCCCGAATACAACACCGATTACTTCAAGGTTAGAAAAACAAAAAGCGTTTCGTGCTTAATTTGCCAGATTCCGCTCGTGATCACGAGATCGATTTCCTCTACGTTACTGGAGCCTTCGAGCCAATGAGGGAAGATGGACAAGTGGTGGGATTTCATTGCCCCCACATATGGGGCTACCCACATATGCTTTTTATTTTAATTTGCATACCCTAATTCTGCTTCTGTGTATAGCTTCGTGTTTCTAATCATTGTTTTGTGCTTTCTTTTTTAGCAACAAATGCCAACAAATGTCCAAGGCGGGAACCCAGCTACATCCGAATAGCGGATATTAACAGGATTCTTAAACCTGGTACCCCATCAGCTAATCAGGGACGCAACGCGAACGTTCTACTAGGATATAACCCTGCATACAAGGGTTTTATAGACAGAAGACCTAGCAATCCCAGCACCAGCGTCGTCTCTACCTCTTCTGCTCCCCAATCGAAGAATCAGAGGCTCGATACTAGAGTAACGATCACCGAGCAGCCAGGCAAGGTCCCTGTTTCTGAAGGCATCCCACTGCCTCGTGTGGTTCTTAGAAGATCCTCACAACGACAGGCTGCCACTCAACAACAACCCGAATAGCTAGCACCTGATCATGATACCAACCAATCCTTTTCATCTGGTTATTCCCCATCTCCACCAAACTCAAGTACGATGTCTCATCAACTGATGAATTTAAGCTCTCTCTTAAC